TTCAGGGCTTGGGGAACCTTCAAGGGGTCAACTGGGTGTAGATCTGAGGGCTTTAGCGCTCAAGAGAACACCGGACTCTTGGTAGCGCAGTAACCAGATTATATTAAGGGCAGCCTTTTCTGGGGTTGGCTATTTTATAAGGGAGCCCAGAAACAACAACGGGTAAAGGGTACCACTGGGCTGAAGCCCTGAGACTTCAGAGGCCCCTCACCCCTAGACCTCTACGCCCCCCCCGAAACCCTAAACCCTAAACCCTGAACCCTGAACCCTAAACCCTAAAACCGCTAAAACCCCTAAAACCCCTAAAACCCCTAAAACCCCTAAAGCCCCTAAAACCCCTAAAACCCCAAAAGCCCTCAAAACCCTCAACCCTGAACCCTAAACTCTAAGCTCGACGCCCAGCTCTGGCAGGGGTTCTAGCTTCAAAGTTGTCTGAGGGTTCAGGGTGGAAGGGTCTGTCTAGGCTTTCGGCTCTAGCCTTCTACTCCCTGTGAAGAGTCGCCTTGTGCCCGACGGTTTAGAGTGTAGGGCTCAAGGGTTAGGGGGGTTCAGGGTTTGGGCCCTAAAGCGTAAACTGCAAGCCCCTAACCCTAAACCCTGCCTCAACACCGACACCCGCCCCCACAAAAGTACGGCGAGCTGCTGGCCAGCTTGTTCGGGAGCGCCGTGACGATGCAGAGCAGTGGCCTAAAAAAGCTGGGAAGCCTGTGTGGGGTTTTGGGGGGTTGCAGGTATACGGTTCAGGCTTGGAGCTACAATTTGCCTTAAGTTGCGCGAGTCAGGTTGTGACGACATCAAGAGAAAACCCTAAACCCTAAACCCTAAACCCTAAACCCTAAACCCTAAACCCTAAACCCTAAACCCTAAACCCTAAACCCTAAACCCTAAACCCTACGCCCTAAACCCTAAACCCTAAACCCTAAACCCTAAACCCTACGCCCTAAATCCTAAACCCTAAACCCCAAACCCCAAACCCCAAACCCCAAACCCCAAACCCCAAACCCCAAACCCTAAACCCTAAACCCTAAACCCTAAACAAGTATAAGACCACCTGGCCCAGGGGCAGTGACAGGGCGAAAGCCACCAAGATTGGAAGCCTGGCAGCGGCATGGTCTAGCACGGCAGGCGCTGTCGCGATGAGGGGCGTTTAGGGTTTAGGGTTTAGGGTTTAGGGTTGAGGGTTGAGGGTCGAGGGTTTAGGGTCTACGGTTTAGGGTGTAGAAGTAGGGCATATGAATATTGCAACTATACGGCGGGGATAGGGAAATGACGTGGGTAGTTTTCATATGGGCCGCCAGGAAAAGTCCACCTAAGCACGCCCCAAATCCTACTAGCCTGGTAGCCAGCCCAGTGACCATATTACAATAAGGGCCCTTGTTTTGGGGTTGGTTACTTTATGAGGGAACCCAGACCCCCAAAAAAAGAGGGTAAAGGGTACCACTGGGCTGCCAAGTTGGACAAAATCACAATGCGACAAGCTGGAAGGGATAGGGTTTTAAGTATTTTTCGGGTCTATTGGAATTGTGGGGTGTCCAGAACTTCTCGGGCTTGGCCCCCTAAACCCTAAACCCTAAACCCTAAACCCTAAACCCTAAACCCTAAACCCTAAACCCTAAACCCTAAACCCTAAACCCTAAACCCTAAACCCTAAACCCTAAACCCTAAACCCTAAACCCTAAACCCTAAACCCTAAACCCTAAACCCTAAACCCTAAATCTGGGTTCCCAATCCCAAGGGGGTCTTGGGGGGGCCATGAGCAATGCAGTCCGGAGACCTAGAATGCAGCTGACCCGACTCAGCAGTCTGCCCAGAACCGTTGAAGGCCTCCGAGCTTGCTGTGCTGTAGGGTTTAGGGTTTGGGATTTGGGGTTTAGGGTTTAGGGTTTAGGGTTTAGAGTTGAGTGTTTAGGGCTTGATTAGAGTCTAGGCAAAGACCCTAAACTCCCGCCTTGGAAGGGTCATTCTGCGTACTTAGACGTAGGGTTGGAGGTAGCTGCTCCAAAGTGAATCCTTAAGCGGTAAGGAACGGATCTGCGAGATCAGCTTTGGCTCAAAAGAGATCAACAGAAGGTTTACATCAACTTAAGTTTCACAACTCCGCCGCCCAACAGCAGTGGATCTAGGAGTTTACGGTTTAGGGTTAAGGGTTTAGGGTCTAGGGTTTGGGGTTTATTCAGGGAATAGGGAGATAACTTTTGGTGTTCAGGGATGTAGGGCCTAGCATCTATAGGCCTGTCTAGGTTTCAAGGTTTAAGGCTTAGGGCTAAGGCGAGGCTGGGCTGTTTGTCCATGGTGCAAGAATAAGTAACGCTCCGTCTGTGACAACGGCAGGCGCCATGGCAAAGTGCCAATGGCAACAGCTCTGGAGTGCCAAACACCGGGAATGTCTCCAAACGACCCCAAACCCTAAACCCGAAAGCCTAAACCCTAAACCCTGAACCCCACTGGCTGCTGAATCCAAGAAGTCGCCTCAAAGAGGAAGCTGAAAACAAGCGGACCAAGCGATTCGGCCACGCTCTTTCCGGTAGTCAGGGCGCCTGCACACTCAAAAATTCGACCCGAAACCCCTCAACCCCGAACCTCTACGCCTAGCCGCCTAAACGCTGGTTGGGGCAGATGGCTCGAGGTGTTCGTAATGGCCTCAGTCATAGGGCTCTTCTCGGGGCTTCGGATGGTTTAGGGTTTAGGGTTTAGAGTTTAGGGTTTAGGGTTTAGGGTTAAGACAAAAAGTTTCTGAGCGAAAAGCTTTTGAGCGTAACTTTGGAGCGCAAGTTTCAGAGGGACCAACTGGCAAGGACCACCTGGTGGCCCAGACGGCTTGGGTGGGAGGGCCTTTGTTGAGCCTGTCAGAAAACCAAGTTGGGCGAGCACCATTTCGAACCAACAGCACCGTTAAGTATTTGGCCCCTGTCGTGATATGTTTGTTTCGAAAAACTCAAGCAAGAGACAGCATTCAGAAGCCTTGAAGTGCCTGCGATTCAGCACTGAAACCTTACCATGTTTTGTTTTCGTGGCTTTAGTCTGTGGATGCTTTGTTACTTGACTAGATTTTGAGTAGTTTTTGGCATCGAAATTCATCGTGTCATGAACAAGTATTTGTTGGTTTTGCATTTTGAACGATTGTTTTCGCAGCCATTTTTTTACTTGTAGTGAGACCTCTCACTCCTCACAGTCTTAGTGCTGGCAGGAGGCAGAGGGAGCGGCAAGAGAGCTCAGTTGCAGTCAGCGAAGTTCAGGGCAGGACTCAGGATCCCCTACAACACTTTTGAACTGCAGCTACTGACTATGGTTTTCTTCAATGATTGTGGTGGCTAGTAACCAGCCAGAGCTTGTTACTGTAAGCCTCACATCGTGGCCTCGCTAAGCGAGACGATGTATGCCGAATACGCTGTCCCTGAAGAAGATCTTCACATTCGTCGGACTTGGCAGCATGTGCTTTTGCAGAACCTCGTGACAGGAGAGTTGGTGGTTTTGAAAGACACACAGTCCTGCAAGGAGTGTGATCTCCTGGCAGGGCCTCGTGGGTTTGTAATCCGGCTTGTGGATCTGGATGGAGAGAAGAATGAGATGCCAGCCCACGAGCAGTTGAGGTACGAGAAGGTCGCTGATCAAATTCGAGACAAAGTGGAGGGGACCACCGAGAGGTGGACAACAGCTGCAGCTGCTGTGAAAGGCTGTGCGATCAAGTTACAAGCCCATGGTCAACAAGTCTTCACTTGCGAAATCTCGGCCTTCAAAATTCCCCGAGCAGCTGGGGTGTCAGGCTCATTATTTCCCCATCTCAGGTGGCTCGTGGCATTTTGTGGAGGTCATCAGAACAAGAACTTTGTTGGTGCATCCTCAGAGTCCTGGCACTTCAAAGTGGGCCAGTACCTTGCTGCTTTGGAAGGCGAAGAGGAGGACCTGGGTCCGGAGGAACTCAGGAAAAGGGTCCAAACTCACTTCGTTGTCAGTCGCAAAGCAGCAGTCGCGGCCAAGGCCAAGGCAAGGAGCAGGAAGCGAAAACAGCCCGAGGAGGAGGAGGAGGACGAGGGGGAGGAGCAGCAGGTTGATGAGTCAGCCGAAGCTGACCCCGGACCTGCAGGCGAGTACTCGGCTTCCTTTTTCACAATTGGTGTCCTGCTGCTGCACTGGAGTACGAGGAAGCTCCACGAACGGAGTCGCTGGAAGGGGAGCAAGGAAGCTGTGGCAGCCAAAGCCACGACATTGTTGCGAGCCCTAGTCACTTGTTTCATCACTGCATCCCAGCAGGTCGAAGCCAAAGAGGCCAGGCTCAACATCACTGTCCAGAGCGACTCCGTGCAGCTGGACTGGCCATCGTTTTGCAGAAGCGATCCCACCGAAAGCCTCGAGTGCCTGGCTGAAATGATGCCTACAGGCGAAAGAGACTTCTGCGAATGCCTGCAGCAGTGCTGCAAGCAGGAGGTGAATCCCAACTTCACTTTGAAGAAAAGGAGAGCTTGCCAAAGGGCAGTGGCCTTGCTACTGCAATGCTTGTGCCACCTCATCGAAGCCAGCAGGATGGATGACATCTGGAAAGAAACCGAGCTGTGGCAAATACAGCCACTGAGGACGGGCATGCAGGGCCTGTTTGTGATGTGAGAGCATGCAGTGCATAAGCTTTGTTTTGATTGCTTTGCTTTGCTAGTTCACTTGCTGTTATTGCCTGGTGCAGGAGCCGAAAAGGCTACAAGAGGCTGAGTGGTGAACAGAAGGCAGCTGTGCTGGAGCAGACGAAGAAGCAGAACCTCAGGTCAGTAGCCACTGTGCTGGCTTCTGTACAAGGATCGGAAGGGGGAAAGCAGCGAGGCACTCCTTTGATTGGCATGGAGAGGTACTCCTACTTGCAGCAAGCGAAGGTTACTTTTCGGAACTCTCGGTGGCTAAGCTTGGCAGTGGATGGAGTTCAAGTGGGCTCCAAGTCCCTGCTGAACACCTTGGCCTGGGATGGCGACAGCGGTTGGGCTTGCATCTGTCCCCCACAGGCGGGTTTGTTTTAGCTGAGAGCTTTTGTTTTGTGGTGTGTGTGGGCTGCTCATTCCAGACGAAGGGCCCTGTTTGCCATCGGCCTGTACAACCTCCAGGAACCCAGGTGGTCCTGAGCCCAGATGTTCCTCACCAGTAGAGCAGGAACCCAGGTGGTCCTGAGCCCAGATGTTCCTCACCAGTAGAGCAAAACAGGCACCCAACTGGTCCTTGCAAGTCGCCCGGGGCAGCCGCCCAAGTGGTCCGCGCCAGCTTTCCCGGGAGTCCGTTTTGGGTTAAAAATTGAGGCCGCAAAAATTTGGTTTCGCACCTAAGTCGTCCGCGCCAGTTTGGTACCCAAGTGGTCCGCGCCAGTTTGTCGGGCCCGGCAATTAAGGAAATGAGTAGGAGCCCCCCCCATTTACAACCCAAGTGGTCCGCGCCAGTTTGGTACCCAAGTGGTCCGCGCCATTTTTGGGGTTTTGCAGGGTTGTTTTTTGTCGAAAAACAGCTCCAAAACGCAGCAAAAAACAACCCAAAAAGCAACCCCCGCAGCATCCCCCCATAGCCCCCTCCAACCCCCCCGGTCAACCAGCCTCCCTTTCAGCCAGCCACCCACCCCCCCCCATGATCAAAGATGCTGCTCAGGCTTGCACAAGACTATCTCCGAATGACCCCTTGCTGAGTTTTTTTCGCAGAGATCTTAGAGGACTTGGACGAACCGGCGACAACAGAGAGGAGAGAAGAGCAGGGTTTCTGAAGTCCCTGCATGAGTTGCCAGCCCATGAGCAGTTGAGGTGCAAGAACTTTGCTGGTGCACTTCAAGACCGAGTGGAAGGGACCCACAGCACAGAAGTGGAAACGATGCCATGCTGGCTCTAGCTCAGGTCAGAAGGGCCCTGTTTGCTTTCCCAGATCTGCCTTCATGATTGTGCTAGAGTCTAGAGGCACTCTGAGAAGGTTTTTGCTGTGTCGGTATGGGGGTGCTGCCTGGTGTGTGGGACAAACAGAGCAGGCCCAAGCTGTAGTTCATTTTCTTTGGTGGCAGTGTCGGTGGGTCGGTGGAATCCACAGACGATACCAAAGGAGCCCACACAACAAAGCTTGGAGATGCAGCTCGGGCAAGACCATGACTCCTGACCCAGAGCCAGCACGATAATATTGAGCTGGATCGTGCTGTCTCTGGGTCAGGCGTCTTTTTTTTTTATTAATACTTTTGTTGCCAACCAGTGCCTCTTTAAGTTTAAGAGGCCTTCTGGACTCGGCCTGCCTGTGGGTTTCAGATTCGACCCCGGACATTGAGAAGCGAGGAGGCAAGAAAAAGACCGAGCCTGCAGCAATTCTTAGGATTGGAGTCTGCGACTGATTCTGTGAGCAGAGCGAGCATGAACCGGATCCATTGCTTTCGGTAGGTGGAACAAGCTAATAAAGAAGTGTGTGTATATATTATGTATATATACACATACTTTTTTATATGTAGCTTTTCCTTTCTCCATCTCTCTCTCTGTATCTCTCTTTCTCTTTATCTCTCTATCTCTGTGCACATGTGTTTTTGGAAGACAGTTAGGGCTCAAGTCGTGAAAGATAACCTTTCGCAGCTACTCCGAAGCACCTATGGCGAGTCCAGTGCTGCCGACGGAATCCGAACCCATTGCGAAGTTGAAGAGGGGTCTACGAAGGTACTTTGAGGAAGACGAAGAGTTCCGTGTGGACCCCCACCATGCAACTGAGCCGCTGCAATGCCTCAGAGACTCCAAGAAACGCTCCCGCCGGAGTTTGAGGGCACGGATTGACAGTCTGCAAACACAGCTGGACATTTCCAACAAGGCCAATATAGATGCAGAGCTAGCGATCCAAGAACGAGATCTCGAGCTGGGAACAAAGAACGACCATATCAAGATGCTCCTACAAGAGAGAGATCAGCTCCGGCTCTGTGTCAAGGGAGCACACGAAGCCTCAGGGAGACTCAAGCAAAGCCTGAAGGATCTCAATGCAGCAATGCAAGCCACAAAGATGGCCACCGAGGACGACACTTTTGTGCCATCAGAGTCCGAGGCTTGAGATGTGGCCACAGCGACTGAGACAGGCTGGCCTGTCTGCTGAAGTTGGAAAGCTCCTGAGTTTGAGTCCCTTTCACAAGTTAGTTTCTTCCAAGTCGGCTGCTGTGGAGAAAACAAAGAGCGCTTTGCAGTACTGATTCCTCATGAGAAGCCATAAGACCTGCTAGGCTGGTCAGCCTGCCCGAACACTCTAAGCTTCAGCTTGGGTTTAGGGCTAGGCTTCCAGCCAAGCAGCTTGTACAGCTAGGTCTGCTGATTTGGAAACTGTGTCCTTTCAGGATTAGTAGCTGTGTCACTTTGAAACTCTATGCTGTCTGCGCTACAGTACTTCCAGTCAAAGATGTTTTTTCGAGACTTGGGCTCTGAACCGGCACCATTTCGATGGTAACGACAAAGGAGTCGCCACAAATAGATGTCTGCAGTTGTCCGTTTTCATATCTTCCAACTGTCTGTTCAAAAGATTATCCCAGATTCGATTTTCGGGTTTAGGGGCTCGAGTGTAAGGTTTTACAGTTTAGAGTTTGGGGGCATCGGTCGTATACTTCGAGAAGCAGCTTTCAATCAAAATGTGCTGCAAGCAGCTGTTGTTTTACAGGCACTGTTTGTAATGTCAAAAATGTAAGTTGAAATAGGTGTTTTCTTCATGTGTTTGTTGCCCTCTTGAAGAAAAGGAGCTTTGAAACCCGTTTCCCATGCAAAACATCATGCTGATTTCGTCCTGGTTTCTTTCGCTTTAAACACAACAACACACGAAACAACACCAAGTAAAAATTTCATATTTCAATGGCAACATGTTTTGAGGGAATCAAACAGCTAAAACAACAATGAACAATAACCAACAGCAAAAATTGGCAGGGGCCCGGCAAACCCTTTGGACACCCAAGTGGTTTTGGCCACCAAGTGGTCCGCGCCAGTTGGCCCCTCCAAAAGTTTTGAGCAGAACGTTTTGAGCGAAAGTTTTTTCTTTTAGACCTATCTTTTTGGGGAAAGGAGGAGGGGGGCTGGGCGGGGAGGGGCGGGGTGGGGGGGGAGTTGGGTTGGGTGGGAGGGAGGGAGGGTATTGGACGGAAGGGGGGTCAAGAAGCGGTCTTGCAGAGCGCTGGGGATCCTCGTCCTTGTCTTTGTCTTGGTTTTGGCTGTTTTTGTGTGTAGCCTGCCGTCTCCACGCATAGAAGATCGTGAAGTTGCGACTCAGAGTGGGTCCATCCTGAGAAGCAAGTGCAGGGTTCAGTTCTGAGGGCTTCAGACTTAAGGTTAAGAGGAAACCAGCACAGTCAAGAGAAAGCCCTGCCTTGACCCATCTCTGAGTGTGCTTGTGGAGCCCCGCATACTCCACGACTCCGTTCCAAAAGAGAAAACAAACACTAAGTCACAAAGAAACAAGCCATGCTGAAGCCCAGGCTGCTTGGTGGGGAGCTCCTGCCAGAACAAGGCTGAAGCTCGCTTACACAAGCTGGCCCAGAAGCTGTAACAACAGCACCCCTGACGCAGGATGGTCATCGCGAGGCCAAGGGCAGCGAGGGAAGGGACAGGTCGTGTCACCGAGCTGGTGAGGCAATCGACATGACGAGAAACAGGAGAGGCTCGGCTTTGGGGCCTTTTGGCGGGGCCTTTTTGAAGGCCTTTTTGTGCCTTTTCTGGGGGGGGGGGGGGCCTTTTGGTTGGGGGGGGGGGGGGGGGTTGGAGGCTTGGGGGTTGAAGGAGGTTCATGTATGTGGAGGCTAAAAGGGGTCCTAAAGAGGTTAAGCTTGCAAGCTTCGAGGGGTGCGGAAGGAGGCGGAGCCCCATACAAAAGGGAACAAGCCTGAAATTTTAGAAGGGGCCCTAAAGAAAGTTCAGCATGGAGGTTAAGTCTGAAGGCTTCGGGCTTGAAAGGAGGTCAAGCCTGGAGGCTTAGCTAAAGGAGGTAAAGCCTGGAAGCGGAGAGGAGCCTTGAAAGAGGTTAAGTGTGGATGCTTGGAGGGGCCCTCAACGAGGTTAAGCCTGGAGGCTTAGAGAGGCTCTAAAGCAGGAAGCAAGTCTGGATCGCAGGAAACAAATACAATGTCCCCGTCGTAGTCCCCAGGCTGATCACGCCCATGCCACGGCAACTGCAGATGATACCATTGTCGGGCACGAAGCGCATGTCGCTTGCACGAGGTAAGGGAAGAGCTGAGCGCCACACCACCACGGGGGGCCTTTGGGGTTGGACCTTGAGGCTAAAGCTCCTCCTTTGGGTTGAGGATAAGGCTTTTGGTCTTGGATCCGCAAGAGCCTTTGGATGTGTTTCTGGAAGTGCCCGATGTCTGTAGGGGGCAGGGTGTGGGGGGGATGGGGAAGCGGGGGTGGGGGTGGGGGGATGGTGAGGGGGCCATATCCAAATTGAAAATTCAAAATGACACCACATACAATTTCTATGCATTTTCTCTTGAGGGTTTAGGGTTTAGGGTTTAGGGGTTTCAGGGTTTAGGGGTTTAGGGATTTAAGGGTTCAGGGGTTTAGGGGTTTAGGGGTTTAGGTTGAGGGGTTCGGGGGTTTACGGGTTTAGGGGTTTAGGGGTTTACGGGTTTACGGGTTTAAGGTTTTGGGGTCGACTATTTGTGGCCATGAAGTCGAAGAGTGGAAGGCCGTGTGCATCCAGGGTGCCTTGTAGCTGCCCCTGCCTCGGCTCTATGCGCTGCTTGGGCTTCATAACGTTCACAGGGTCTCGGGTTTAGGGTTTGGGGTTTGGGGTTTGGGGTTTGGGTTCAGGGTTCAGGGTTTGGGATTTAGAGTTTGGGGTTTCGTGGTTCGGGCTTCGGGGTTTAGGGTTTGGGGTTTGGGGTTTAGGGTACAGAGGGTATTGTTACCAGCGGATAGCCCTGAACAATCATTTTCTTGAGCCACGGCGAACGGGTGAATACAGCTTGTGTCTTCCAGTAACTACACCCCCCGCGCAACTTAGTGCAACGGTAGAGGCGTTCTTTTCCGTTAGCTGGAAGAACACACAAAAGAAT